TAGAGAAAAACATAACTGAATAAAGAAAATAAATATTTATTTGGCTTTAATAGGTTCTCTGACCGGTATCCTATTGCTCTTCCTGGTTTTTGGTGGTGTGATATGGATTATGCTGTTGAAAAAGAAAGAACGGTGAGGACTTTATTCATTTACATTCATTATTTATACTGCAGTGGTAGTGATGATTTGTGATAAATATTCTATCAAATATCAATATGGAACATGTGCACCGAGAGAAATACAGTGATTTTGTGAGGAAAAGGTTTTTGCCTTTCTCATCAGCGGCCCTCTACCAATTCTCATGCCCGTTTTGAGCTTAGCCTTGGTAAAACTCACCCATTTCCTTAATAAGAACGGTCCATTAATTCACAGGAAGTCTCATCTGTCCATTTCAAACAGTGCATCTAAATGTATTTTTAAGTCCTGTACTGATCTGCTTCATCTTTTCAATTACATGTTCTCCCTATTACTTCAGCAAATATACCTGTGAACCCAAAAAAAGATATAGGAGTGTTGTTAGTTATGAAGATCCCCCACTCTAAGAAGAAAACTTTGTCTTCACAGCTACAGGTAATAATTGCATTGAAAGATTAGTATTTTAAAATGAAAATGCATTATTTGTATAAAAGAATGTCACTGTGAATCAGGTGTTTTAAAATAATTTACAGCACATATATAATTTGGGAATGGGCACATTATTGTGCAGTGACTCCTTTGTTAGGTAAATTTCTTTGTACCTGCTCTAGCTTTCAATCTGTTAGAAAACTAGGCAAGGTTAGTTCTGCATTTTTCGCTTGCAAGTGATTTTAGATTTTTTTTTAATCCCGTCTTTATTTTTATAAATAACTCAAAGCAGTGAACATTCCTAATACTCCTTCCTCCTCCTCTTTTCCCCACAACCACCACCCTGTGAGGTGAGTGGGGCTGAGAGAGATGACAGGCCCAAAGTCATCCAGTCAGCTTTCATTCCACTACCTTCCTTTTAATTTATCTTTATGTTGCCTATAAATTGCTTTTTTAGTTACTGAAATTCTTGTTCTAGTTCAACGGAATGTCGTCATTTCTTTTTCATAGGACAAAATATTAATCTTAAGTGGCAGCTTCCTCTGAGGAAGCCAATAAAGATTAGCAACAAATATCACATAGATATTAATGGTTGTGCTATGAGAAGCACATTATTATGCAGTGACTGTTAGGTTAATTTCTTTGTACCTGCTTTAGCTTTCCATTGTCAACGTAAGTGAGAAAACTCAGGTTAGTTTCGTATTTTTCCCTTAGAAGCGATTCCTCTTTCTTCCTTGTAATTCACCATTATATTGCATATAAACTGCCTGCTTTTTATAGTTACTGAATTTCTTGTTCTAGTTCAATGAAATGTTGCTATTTCTTTTTCACAGGACAAAATATTAATCTTTAGTGTCAACTTCTTTTGAGCAAGCTAGGAACATTAGGAAAAAAATCATGCTGACACAGATGGTTGTGCTATGAGAAGTGATGATGAATGTATAATATACTCCTGGAAAATAAATACAAAGCAGATTCAGTGATATGACATACCCATGATTTTGATGCTAAAACAAAGACCCATAAATGTTTTATTACTCTGTACTTCACCCAGGGTCTTCACCGAGGCCTTTGACAAGAGAGAATGAGACCCCTCACTTCATTGTGCTTGCCATCTTTTATCTTTATTTTTTTATGTTTTATTGATTGTATTGTAATTTCTTTGATTGTTGTAAGCTGCCCAGAGTAGTTGAGAGTCGGGGGGCATACAAGTTTAATAAATTATATTACCCATTCATATTCCATATTCATTAAGGAGCAAATACATCCTCAACCATGTTGTCCAAGCTAAGGTTATAGGTTATACAATAAATACAAACTCAATTTATCTTCTAGAAATAATTATTAAAACAATTCTAAAGTTACCCTAGGTCTAGTCAGAAAAAGCATTTCCAAACAATAATAAATCAGTATTACTCGTATTTGTCTCTGGGTTTTCTTGGGGACCTTTGGGGAAAAAGAAAGGCAGAGATTAGGTTATGAGTATGGGCACCACTTTGAAGTGACATCAGTGAAGACAGGACCTTGAGAAAGGACTGCTGAAAATCATTCTGCCAGTCCTTCGTACCATTCAGTCCATTGGAACAGCAATAGAAGCAGGTAGGAAATTCAGACTCCTACATCGAGTTGCTAATCTCTCCCATAACGCTTGCTGATTAAAGAGTACCTACAGTACAGTAGCGGCATTCAAGTTTGGTGGTCTCAAAACAGAAGCAGCCTCGCCGGCCGTTTTGCTTCTGCGACTGGACGTACCAACCAGAGCAATTTAACCTTTCCTACCTCTGAACCAGAGTGCCTACACGTTCTCAAAATGTCCAACATCTCTGACCTCCACGCAGAGGCAAACTGGAAGTTACGCTCGCAGCGAACCTTTGTAGACCTTCGGACCTCAGTCGCACGGACCAAGTTCCATCCGCAATCTACTTCTTTCCGCAGGGGCAGCTCACCGCCGCCCACCCCCCGGCCGAGAACCCTAAGCGGAGCCTTCAACCATCCTCTGCTTGCGGGGATCGCGCGCACTTTTGGCGTCTCCCTGCGTCGACCTAGCGCCGACGCTGGCCAGGAAATGGTGGCGAGAGGCGGATCCGACTTTCTTGCAAGCGCGGCGGCAGCTTTGACTCTCGCAGCGGCCGCAGCGCACGCGCTCGGGCCCTGGAACTCCCCTCGCCCCTCCCCTCCCCTCCGCGCACCGGGTCTCAACGCTTCTTCGTCCTCCTGCGCGCTGAGCCATGTCGCGACGACGCCCTTCGCGGCTCCTCGCGATCCTGGCGCTGGCAGCACTGACTCTGACTCTGGCCTGGCCAGGTGGGTAGGAGGCGCTTCTCCCTACACGGCGGCTCCGCCTGTCTGCCCCTCCGGGCTCTGGCTTCCATCCTCCCCCGCGTCCTTTCCCGCCTCCGCGGGAGGAGATGCTGCGTCTCGTCTCCGCCCGCCCACCCGCCTGTCGCGGCCTGCTAGGGCAGAGCCGGATCGGAATTTCGCACTGCGCTCTTTGGGTCGAAAGACTGAGAGCCGGGCGCGTCCCTCCTGGAGGCGGGCCTGAGAAAGGGCTTCCGCTTCTGGAGGAAGAGCCTGGGGCGGACGAGGCCCAGGGCGCAAAAGCAAAGGCCCTCTCGGCGAGAGTTTTTCAGAGGGATGGGGCCCCCTCCCGTTGGAGGTGCAAATATACCGGCGCTGACTCTAACGGCAGGGGCCACGGGGTGTGGATAGAGAGTTTAAACCAGTGTTTCTCAACCTTGGGATCTTTAAGATGTGTGGACGTGAACTCCCAGAATTCCCCAGCGTGGCTGGGAGTTGATGTCCACACTTCTTAAAGTTGCCAAGGTTGAGAAACACTGGTTTAAAACTTCTTTGCCTGTAAGATTGTTAATTGTAACACTGAAGACCTTCCTTTTCCTCAGGGTTTTAGGGGAGTGAATTTGAAGCCAGACCCAGATTTTAAAAGGTTTCTTAAACGATTTTAATACTTGGATTGTATGGATATTTTCAGTATACTACTGTAAGCCTTCTTGGCTTGCTTGAGTAGGCAGCATACAAATAAAGGCAAATAGATAAATTGAGGTGGCTTCCTTCTGCCAGACATACATGCGCAGAGTACTTGCTCTTTGAGCCTTCACCTGGCTAGCTGTAATTAGCCAAATGTGAGGCTTTTTTCCCCCTACTCTGATTATAAAACCTGCTTCACTGATCATAGCTCATGTCAGATTCCTGCTCTTAGGAACACATGTGCACATGCTTGCACACACACACACACACTTTAGCTTCCAAAATCTTGAAACCTGGATTGGGCCTGGTTAGAACTTGGAAGAGGAAAGCATGTGTAGGTTGAAACCAAGGTGGCGCCACCAGTAATATCCATCCTGTCAGACTCCCTCTCCCTTTGAGGGAAGCCAAGGATTAAACCTATTTTGTTCCTGACCATTCTGTAAAAAATGAGTGGAACTCCTTCCCCTCCCTTGTCCTGTCATGTTGGTGGCAGTGTCTGGGAATAGTGTCATAGATGTGGTCTCAGACAAAAGAGGAGCTTGCTCAATTAGAGTGATGAAAGCCTGCACTAATTTAATTTGGCAGAATAAAGGTATTGTGGAGAATCAGGCCCTGGGCCAGAAATGTTTGCGCCTCAGAAGGAATCAGCCTCAGGACTCAGTCCAGGGGAATGTCCTGGAGCAAATTTTACTGTCTTGAACAAGATTATGGAAAAGATTTCAAAGCTCAGAGGCATTGGTTTTCCTCTTGTTCTGCATCATCAACTTCAGAATGCTTCTAATCTTGCGGCAAGGAGGGAGTGAAAGAGAAGAATATACACAACTAGAGCTTATTGAGAAATGAAATGCAGGAGAGAGAAAATTGTTTCTAAGATGATAAAGATGACAACAAGAGGACATACTCTGCATCTTTATCAATGACTGATCTGAGGAAGCCAATAAAGATTAGCAACAAATATCACATAGATATTAATGGTTGTGCTATGAGAAGCACATTATTATGCAGTGACTGTTAGGTTAATTTCTTTGTACCTGCTTTAGCTTTCCATTGTCAA